TTAATATACAAATAGCTTCATTAAATTTTATACCAATTAATTCAAAATAAAAAATTAAAATTTTATTAGAATTATTCTAATAAAAATTAATATATATATATATTAAAACATAATTTATTAATAATTCTTATTTTTTTATTATTTATGTTGGTTAAGTGATACTTTTGTATTAGAAACTCCAATTAAACTAAGTTTTTAAAGAAATCTTAAATATATACATTAGCTTTTTTAACCAAAGATATGTATATTTAAAGTTAATAATGTATTTAACTAATAATAAGATTCAATACTAATATGAAACCAATGTTATATAATGAATCTAATTATTTTTATATGCCAATTTAATTAATATATTATTAATAATATCATTTTTAATTATTACATGTTTAATAATTGTTGTAATAAATTACTTTAATTAATAATATTCTAATTTAGATTTCTAACGTATATTGGAATCCGTTGTTGCTTACTTCATAGATTTTTAACGATAATAACAACATGAAATGTAAGGTATTATATATGTATACACGTGTGTATCAATTATAAATTATAAATTTAATATTATTACTGATATAAATTTTTGGTAATATAATATTAAACCAATGATGTTTAAAAATTAGCTACAAATAAAAAAAACAAAAAGAGTTATCCAATAAGAATAGTTATTGTAATGAATAGCATATTAATTATGATAAACAAAATAAAAATGCATAATTTTAAAATTGTTCTAAACAATGTAATTATTGACACTAACTTTCGGTACATTTATTTATTTTCTTATATTATGGTGGCCAAAAAATATTATGATATTATATACCAATATGCTATTTTTTTGGTTCCATGTGACATTCAATATACTAGTTTGTCATTTTATGATATGAATTTTTATTAATAATTTTTAGTTGGTCAATAATTAAATTTCCAATATAAATATAAATAAATTATATTACAAGAATAATTACTAAGTTAGATACCATATTAATTACGATAAAAATAAAAATAAAAATAAAAATGCATAATTTTAAAATTGTTGTAACCCAGCAAAATAATTTATACGAACCTCCAGTAAAAAAAAAAAAAAAAAAAATTTATTTTTATATATTGAGATTGTAAATAAAATTTTATTAAGATATTACATATCACTTAATATTTGATGTGTATATATATATATATATATATTTATGTGAATACTTTTATGAATTTTGGTTAATTAATAATCAAGTGGTAAATGAAAATTATATTAAGTTAATAACATAGTATTTAATATATTAACATTTTTATAATAGTAAAAGTTATTGAATTGAATAATATAAAAATAAGTTTTCAATAAAATATAAACTAAACATAATGTATATAATAAAAATATTAGTAATGATAAAATGGAATGAAATAAAAAGTGACAGAATAAGTACGTATAAAAGAGAGAAAACAATATTGAAGAAAAAATCAAAAGTAGAAGATATGATAGAAAATTGTAATCATAATGAGATTTTTAATTACCGGATATGTTTGACATTTTGAGAATTTATATAAAAAAATAAAAAAAATTAAAATGTTTAATTTTTTCAAACACAAATAACTTATAATAAATACATAACTAATTAAATGATACACATTTTTATTAATTAAACACTAATTATAATACCACATAAACCAATCAAATTATAAAGTTGGAAAAATAGTCATTACTGTGCAATTACCATCTTTTGGTAATTACTTTTCCTTTACATTGTTTGAGCTTATTACTTGATTTTTTTTTTTTTTGTTTTTTAACGGCGTTATATCATCGTGATGTCACATGATGACGAAATTTTCTGTCATTTTCTCTTCAATCCAACTATGAACTACTTTCAATAATCCTACACACTTCAAAGCAAATTTCTTTTTTTTTTTAAAAAAAAAAAAAAAAAAGTTTGAACATAAACTTGCTTTTGTAAAAAAATTTCAGATATTTTGATGCTCAAATTTTTTGCTAAATTTATGTGGAGGCAATAAATTTTTATTATTTTTTAAACAAAAACTTTTTGTATTTGATTTTAATAAATGATTTAAAAATCAATTAATATACTTTTTTGAAAATGTAAAGAAAATTTAAAAGCCAATTGTACGGGGGGGGGGGGGAAGGAGGAGATGGAAA